CTTCCTGGCGCAAGGTTTCCGGCATCCTGTTCCTTCCAAACTCCGCTGCCAAGGGGTGGCGGGGGGATCCCAGAAACATTTGACACTTAGAACCCAGTGTCTGAGTGCTGGGTTTATCTGCCAGCAGCTCCCCCAGGTGCGGGGTGGCCATGGCCCTGCCTGTGGCCCTGCCACCGGCTGAGGGGACTGACACGGCCCAATGCTGGGGTCACCAGTGCCCGGCGGGGGCTGCGAGAGCCCTCTGCACCCAGCGGTGCTGTGCCCGTCTCGCCGTGTGTGCAACAGCGTGGGGCCAGCGGCCTCAACCCTCCAGCACCCGTTGTCTCCAGCGTGCTTGGCCTCCTCCTTCCTTCAAAGGGTTTGGCTGTGACTTGGCTGCATTTAGCACTCCACTGCTTTTGCTTAACCCCTGGTCATGGTATGGGCATCTGCCACGCGCACGCAGGATTCGGGCAGTGGAGACCAGCCCTTGACATGCCAGCGTAGGCAGTGCTAAACCAACACAGCGCTGCTTTTGAACCAAACCCCCATACTTCCCTGCAAGCCCATCCACACGCAGCCATAAAACCTGCAGCTGCCCTGAACTATTTATCTCTAAAGACAGCCTTTACCATGCTGTCCATAAAGCCTCAGCACCAGCAGCACAAACTACATCAACTCAGAGCAGATCTCCCAGGCAGCTGCACTGTATAGCCACGCATTGCTCCTGCAGGTCTCCTATGGAACCACTGCCTCTTCCAAAGGGAATCGGGCAGATTTTGCTACTAATTCTGCTTTTCCTGCTAGGTGAGGGATGCAAAGACTTAGCATGATCCCTCGGTTTCAGCAAGACGGCCTTTGGTGCAGACCCACATGCCAAGGCAGCAGGGACACAGGTGCCCTGGAGCCACCGGTAAGCAGCTCGCACAGGGGGACAACCAGCACCCGCAGGGGGATGACCAGCACCCGCAAGAGCCCTGCCATGACCCAGGAAGTGGATTTTTGTTTTCTGCAGGCAGCTTTGTAGCCAGCTGAGGGTTGGTTGTCCACCGCTCTTGAACTGAAGCTGCATGGAAGCTCAGACCATGGGCACTGGGCCAAAGCCCAGGGGACCAAAGGGGCACAAATGCCCCCTCGCCTGGGCAGGGAAGCGAGTGCTCATCCTGGTTTCTTACCCTGAAGTCTCTGGGGCCACGTTGGGTTGGAAAATGCAGAAAGGGAGCTCAGCAGCCCCAGTAGAGGCTGGGGTCGGTAGGTCTGTGTTGGAGCCAACACACAGGCACATGCCACCCCATGGCCCATGGGACAGGAACAGGTCCACGGCAGGGGCACAGACAGGCACCAACGGTTGAGAAACCTCTGCAAAAAACTGCCAAGAATTGGCCAGGAAGGACCTGGAGAGCAAAATGGGTCTCTTCAGGTATTTGCTCCTGCTCTGCGCGGTTCCCAAGGATGCCTGTGCAGGGTGAAGGCAGTGGTACAGGCTGCTGCCCTGTGATGTGCTCTACGGGGTCCCCAAACCTGTGAGGCACAAGCGCCCCAGGAGGCAGCCCCAGGCGCCTCTCAGCTCCTCCACTTTAGCTCCTCTGTCCCACAGGTATGGCAACTGCCTCAGTGGTCTGGTAGCTGCCACCCACATGCCAGGCTCTGGTGAGGAGTCCTGGCACACCCAGCAGCCCTTCCTCCCCTCACCCCCATCCTACCGACCATCACAGGCTCCTCCAGGTTGTCTGTCCTTTCATCTCTGCCTGTGCTCTGCTCTGCTTCTGGTACCAACGGCATCCCAACAGCAGCTGGTCCACGGCCCAAACATCTTCCCTATGCCCACTGTTCAGGCTCAAAAGGATACGACAGAAAAATCCTGGAGCAGTACCTGGTAGAGGTGTGTTGTGTTGTTTTTAATTCACAGCAAGAAGTAAATTGGAGTAAATTTAGCACAGATGGGAAGCGAGCCAAGCCATGCTGGACTGAATCCTGCATGTGCTGCTCTGCTTCACCCCATCGAGCCCCTCGCCCTTATGGCCAAGGGTGGCTTGGGCTGTGGGGAACAGTCACTGCCTGGTCCCTGTCTTGAAAGCAGCTGCGGGGAGAAGCAGGATTTTCCTGGAGACATTGAAACACAGTTTGACTTAGTGCAATTCATGACCCCACGTGAGGTGGGTACCACTATGATCTACCGCGCAATGCTGAAGCAGAGCAATTGCTTGTACCAGCTCCTGCTTCCAAGACAGTAGGCTGTAGCAACTCAAACCAGTGGTGAACAGGCAAAATTAAAGTGAACAATATTTTGGGCTTATCCTCTTGGTAAATATGGAAACAGAGTTGCAGCTATTTAGCTTGAAAAGAATTCAATCAGTGGTTTCCTACACAGACAATACCATGGTCCTTGAGGGGCCAGGCTGAATTCATGCCAGAAAAAGCAGAGGTAAAGAGCTGAGTCTCCTGTGAGCTCCATGTCTTTGTGCAGCTGTATGGAAATGAGCAGGCATGGCTGCCAGCCCCACCGCATGCCACTGTCTTCTCGAGGGTGTTTTGTGCTCGTGGTGGTTGCTGCTACAGTGCCAGATCTCAGGAAATGATGAATTTACTGGTCACCTAGTGCCTCTGCCTTTTGGCAAAATGACTCAGGTATGGAGCAATGCAAAGGAAAAGAGTGCTGCTGTTACCAAGGCCAGACAAAAGCTACTTCAGCCTCAGGTTAAAATCCTACTTTTTCTCTCTAAGCGCATTTACTGGAAAAGTGTCAAAAACAAAGAATGTAAAAATGTGCTTACAAATAGCACGGCAGTTCCCAGGAGTGAGTTTCTGTAGTAAGGCTGTACAATTCTGGCCATGGCAGGAGCTGCTTTACACACCATCCTGTAACACACCATCCTCGCTGGAGAACCAAGTGATGAAAGGAGCAGAAAAGGTTTCAGCGAAGCCTCCTTCCCCCCCTTCTCTGAGTCAGGTAGTGGAAATTCTGCAGGTCGCCCAGCAAAGCACCAGATTTTAGAAAAATGAGGGCTACACCCCACTGCCCTGCTCTCTGGACACCCACCTCGTGCCCCGTCAATACAGCTCACCATTTTTCCTGGGTCACGTTGTCCTCGCGGTTCTGCCAACTGGAAGAAAAGCTGAAGTTAAAAAAAAAGTATTTTACCAAGTCTGCAAAAGTACAGGTGTGGGAGCAGAGAGGTGGGAATTCAGAACCAAAATTTTCTGCATGGTCTCTCTGTCTGAGCACTGTTGATGCTCGCTGCCCTGCAGAGGCTCTCAGTATAAACCCCAGCCCAGCTGCTGACTCAGCACAATGGCCTCGGCCAAACTGCTCGACCTCCGCACCCCACTGCGGCACCCTGGGGACAGGCCAGCGCCAGCGTCTCCCAGCCTGGGAGGTACCAACAGCAGGGAGCACCAGGAGACCAGCCTGCATTCAGATGGAGCTGCGAACAGAGGCTGAAGAGCTTCACTCCTGCGTAGAGCAAAACTAAAAGGGTTATGGTCAGCCCTTCCTAGAAGCCAGGAAATTGCTTTCTTTTGTGTCCGATGTTAGGGTGGGAAACCATAACCAAAGGGGCCGTGCAAAGGCAGCGCCTGGAAGGGCAGCAGTCCCGTCTGCACTTTGCACAGCATGGTCCTTCATGGACTGCCGTGAGCTCTGCCAAAGAGCTGGAGTAGAAAGGGAAAGCGGGTAGTTATCTCTGCAGCCTGCTGCCGAGAAAGGAAACTGTCCCTTAGATCAATCTGTAACAAGGGCTCTTGCTGAAACAGGAGTCCTTGCCACGCCTCTGTTGCCTTCCTTGTAATCAAAAGCTCCTTTCTTTCACAATAATCTCCATTTTAATCTAGTATATAAAAGCAGTTTACTCTTACGGATTTCATTAAACTGCTTATTCCAGCTCTAGCAACACTGTGAACTTGGCAACTCAAAACCGTGCTGAAGCAGAAGTTCGGTAGAAGGGATCAATAACAATTTATCAGGAAAAGACCAGCCAGGGAGAAGCAACAGGTTTCAGTAAGGTGTAAGAAATGCAGCTTGAGGAAAGTACCATCATATCCCCTGTTCCAGGAATCAAACACATGTTATTTCAAACTTACACGCTGCAAAATGTTGCAAAACAAAACCCCCCTATTATTCTTTCAGACTAGTTTGAACTTCCTATGATTTAACAAAGATGTAATCATATCCGCAAAGATCCCAGAGTTCTTTATGAGCATCTTAAAAAGTAGGAATGAATCACTTCCTTGTACGACAATCAACTTTGCAATGCCATGATCTTGGAAATTACAGCTGAACAGTCAAAGGCAAGCACTCAAAAGAAAATAAAAGCATTTAATGCAAAACATTTTACCAAAAGTTTTTACAGCAATTTCATATAAATGGACTCTTCTCTTAAAAGATGAAATCACCAATATAAATGTATTGTTACAAAGCTGATTACAAAACTATCTCCTCAGCCACGCAGAGAGGTAGGGCAGGTATTTCTGTTATCTGAAAACACTCAAGATGAACTGAAAAGTAATGTTCAGGATCTAGCCTGCTCTTTCTAAGCGATGGTAACACACATACAGTTTTGGATTAAAACTTCACAGGCTGATATTATCTTTACCCCGTACGGCCTTTATTAAGGTTCCTAATAATTTGTGGGTATGCAATTGACCTATCTGAGACATCTGTCAGCTATATTATACAGTTTTCCCTAATGATGAGAGGACTGATGTGTGGCAGATTACAGTGTGTCCCTCTGCAAGGAGCAGGCTTTAGGGATGGTTAAGAAAATTTAAAAAAAAAAGAAAAAAGAACTGTTTCTAGAATTGTTTCTATTCCTGCTCCATTGCTCCAGGCTGTAGTTTCCGGGACCCGAGGGCCTGCCACTGGGAGAAAAGAGTGGTGCAGCTACCTGAGGCTCTTCATCTAGATTCACTGCTTCCCAGGCTGTCAGAGACTTGAACAGGTACAGAGAGCTCATCTTGGAGTAAGCGAGGCCCTATGGAGACTGACGGCAGTGAGTCCAGCCCGGATCCTGACAGGCCCACAAAGAGCAAGAGACAACATTGGTCCTGGTGGAGCAAAAGGCAGCTGGAAGGGAAGGGCAGGAGCCCTCTCCTCCCCTCCGCAAAGCGTTACAGCAGCACAAGCCCTTCCCCAGCACGTTAATTTGTTCCTTCATTTGGCAGACTGGGCTCGTCTGGAAACGATTACCTGTGAAAGGAGCTCTTTCACCGACAGAGCTGTTCACTGCAGCAGCGTCCTGCAAGGCTGGGCTCTGCCTGGGCTGCTGCCAGCCAAGCAGAGAAATGCTCCAGCTAATCCCCAGCGGAGCTGGGCTGCCTGCTCCCCGCTTAGCAAAACAACAACAAAAAGGCCTTCGAGGAAGATGCAGTGAGGGGAACACAGCTCTCTAGAAAACAAAGCCACATTAACCAGCCTTAACAAAGCAACAGTTTTCTTCCCCAGTGGAATGGCAGGCTGGTGCCTTCCCTCCCCAGGACAGGCTGTCTTTTGGGCTCTTCGGGGACACGTGGGAGGCTGCCTTTTCTTTTTTCGCTGTGCTGCTCCAGTGCTAGGCTCCCCGCGCTGCTACCAGGAGCTGAAGTCCCCAAAGCCTGCGCTCTTTTTCTCTCTCTTCGCAGCTGTGCTGGTTGAGGGCCCGTCATCTTCCATGCTGCGCTTCCTGAAGTCAAAATGAAAACAACTCTCAGGGACTATTTACTGCTTGGTGGGACCAGGGAAGCTGGATGCTGTTCCTCTCCCAGCAACAGAGATACCAGTCCCAGCCCATCCCTTATCAATTAGAGTGCAAGCTCCGTGCCAGCATGGGGACTGCAGCAGGGATGGGGCTGGGGGCCTTTAGCATACCCAAAGGGAGAGCGTGTCAGTCTGTGGATATGGTTTGGGTCAGGCTTTGAACACTTCCAGGAATGTGTTCAAAACCCATCACGTTCTCCAGGCTAGAGCTGAAGATTTGACAGCTGTACTTTTTTAGCACAGTCATGATGAGTATGTGAGCCACAAGTTCTCTCCCTGCCTTCTCACCTGCATTTGTGGCAGCAAAAGGATTTATGGGGAATTAGGTGTAAAGCAGCTGGGCAGGTTTTTCAGATTCTTTCTTGTTTCTTGAGCATAGCCTGTTGCAATCACTGCTGCTATTCTCAGCCTCTCTCAAGCAGAGTTTGCAAACCCATGGAAACACTACTCAGCCAGCTCACATAGTTTTATTGACAGGTATCAGTAGCTGATAAGAAGAACCCTGAACCTGCCAAAGGGCTACTATGGCCCAAACTCCCAGTTTCAAGGCAGGCTGCAATGAGTGAAGGACTAGGAAAGAAAAGTCCTTTCTATACTACTTGGCCCTTTCCACAGAGCTGCAAACTCTGCTTGGGTTTCCTCTGTAAATTAAATACAGTGCAGAATGGCAGCAATTTTAAGCTGAACTTAGTATTTTAAGGGACAAGCAATATTTTGTAACTGAAACGCTTAACTGACACACCAAACTGACCTACATGGGCTAACGTAGTTTTGCTCTCAGTTATGCAAATACCTGTAAGTCACGCAGGCACATACAAGCTGATTAAATAGCTGTCCAGATCTGTGTATGCATAAACACCTGCCTTTACGCAGCAGACAACAGCATTTTTGCAAATGCTTTTAGAGAAGTCTGCAAAAAATCAAGTAGAAGGCATTTATTTTAATCTATCCAAAACGCATGCAAAGCTGCCACTCAGGTGGGATTCTGTACTGTCTTTAGGAAAGCAAGCAATGCTGCCAATCCCAACGGGTGTACAAAGGGTGTCTGGGAGAGGACGCTTTAGGACAAGCCTGTACAACCAGCCAGGCACCCTGGAGCTACTCACCAGGCACCCTGTGCTCCCATGGCAAGCCTGGGAACCTGCTCCCCTTTCCAGCCATTTCAGTTGGGCGGCTGAACAGGGAACCAGATCAGCAGACTGATAGGGGCTTAGCACAACTACTTTGTGCAGGGCAGAAGCTGCTAAACGAGAAACATCTGTGGGACTGTGGCCTTCAGAAATAGCTGCAGAAGAGGAAGAGACTAAAGATGGTGTAGGAAGCAACACAGCACAGTTCCTCAAGGACTTCTGAGTTGTGGAAATGTATCTACAGTTCTGAAGTCAGCACATGCTGTTAAATACCAACATGGTCATGTTCAAGTGCTAAAAGAAAAGCTTAGTTAACTTATAATCTTGAAAAATAACAGAAGTAGAGGGAACTCCTGATTGTTAGGACTGCATGAAAGTGTCTTTGCAAAGCCTGATGATGCAATCCAAACCTCTGAGCAATGGCACTGGACAGGGCCAGCATCCAGCAGGAAAGGCAACTAAAACACTCAACAAAGATCAGATGGGCAGAGAACTCACGCTGCGGCCATGTTAATGTATTTTCCAATCCCCTGCCGGTAAGTTTTAGGAGTCTGGACCTCTTTCTTTGGTGGGACCACTTCAGCTTTTGCTTTGGCTGCTTCTTCTTCTAGCTGGACCTTCTCTCTTTCTGCAGCAACCTGTGGGAAGCAAAGAGTGCAATCTATTGCAAGAGCTAGTCCAGAGGAAGGAGAAAATGTCTACAATTCTTTGAAGCTTTAAAGCACTCTAAAACAGCAATCAGCACCACTATGATTACAGGGCAGGCTTTAGGAGACAGACCTCAAGTGCCACTACAAACAGGTTGCCTGCAGCCATTGCAACAAAACTCCTCTCTTCTCACCTGCAGCTACCCATAGCTACTGTGGGCATTTGGAAAGGAAGCCATTGTAAGCCCGATGGAGTGGGAGCCGTGCCAGACTCGGGCG